GGGGGGGCGGTGAGTTTACCGATCCCTTTGAACCCATGGTTAGGGTTACACTGACACCACCGCTTGGAAAAGTTGATCAGAATCCTATCGACTTGTTGACTTTCGGCCTTCAGAACTAACTTGCCGCACATGAGACGCAGCGCAGCAAGAATGTTCAGGTTGGTGAAATTGTAAAGCTCCATGTAAGCCACCAATGTTCGCAGGTGAATGGGGTTGTCTTCTCCGAGCCAGGCAGCCGCTCTCTCCTTCAGAATGAAGTCTTCATTGCCATCATATATCTTTCTTGCATTATCGCGGTCACCCTCGCTTGGTAAAGTCTCGTCCGTAACCGTGCTCTCGGAATCGAAAGGTTTGCAGCAGTCGGCATCCGATAGAAGCCCGCTCTTCTGTGATGGAGACGCGCTCTCTTCTCTGCCCTCGATTTGCAGAATCGGCAGGCTGGTTGCGGATTTGTATGCCGTCTCAGTCGACCCAGAAACTATGCTGCTTCGTAATTCTTCCGGGGTCGAATTCAAGCCCGAGGCCGGCTCTGTGCCATCTTCTTCTGACGATGATGAAGCTTCAAGGTAGACACGATTTTCCTGGACATCTTGCTGGCTCCCCAGTTTTTCTGGCGTCAGCATCACCCATTCTTCATCCTTCGCGGGCGCTTCTGCTCGCGTTGATGTCGGTTCTATACTTGAATTAGACGAGGTGGGGCTGCGAGGGGAATCATTGGTCGGTGATGCCCGGCCCATTTCTGGCTTTGTTGCGGAGGGCGAGCGTCTGACATACGCTCTCTCGTAATCTGCGACCAGCGCTATCTGCTTCGAAACCGACGGCGGTAAAATGGTATGTTCAGCAAACCATTTCTTCTCGGGACCATGTACTGAGTTTGGGGTGGAATCTGTGCCCGGATCATTATCACTGCTGTTCGGCAGGAAATTAGCGTGGCCTACGTCCCTCGAGCTGCCCTGGCGAGACATTCCGGTCTGCGAAGTGGATGCCGGAGTTGGTTGAGTCGGAGGCGGGACTGACGAATTGTCCGTTGAATACCGCTCGACTGGTCGCACAGCCCTGATGGTCGCGCTCCGGTCGGGATCGTAGTCTGGAGAGAAGCCCCTCACGGTCCGATCATTGGGCTCCGGGCTGTCACTCATTTGCCGGTCTATAGCAGCATGGGGCGCTATTTCGACGGGGGTTCGGGCCGGGGTCTTCAGATATGGATTCATGACTGTCCGGAGGCTACTGACTGGGCTCGGAGCCACCCTCGACGGCTCCCTCTCAGTAATCTGTGACGCGAAATGCGGGACCGTAGGGACTGGGGGCTCGGCCTCACGAATAGACTTCTTCCGCCGCCTGAAGAACGATGAGGGCCTCTTGGAGAGAACATGCGCTTGCTCTCTCGGTGGGGGCGAAGGAGGAACTTCCGGTGGCGACTGCGTATGTTGTACCTTGATCTGGGTGCCGATATGCTGGGGACGGCCACGCGGCCGATCCGTCGTTTCAGCAGATGTCGTGGAACCGTGCGAGGGCGGAGAGGCAGTCGGCACCGCAGGGCTACTCCTCGAGCCAAAAACTCTCCTAAAGAATCCAGGCCGCTCCTTAGGTTGCGCACGGGTTGTGCTCTGTTCCTTGGATCTTCCACCGCCGCCCAGCGGTGCTGGAGCCGTTGCGGATTCCTTGATGAACGCGGGCATGGGCGGTAGCTCACGAGAACAATCGATCAGACCGTGATCGAACCTTGCTGGGTTATTTGCTCCCAGTCTCCCCTTGTATCCGCTTTTGGAAGATTTGGTGCTCCGTCTCCTCTCCAGCTTTTGTGGCGGCTCTGGCTGCACCGAATCTGTCACTGGGCCCATTGCTGCCGACGGCGGCATCATCCTTCGAGGACCGACGGGTATGGTAGGCGTCGGCGCCGCATCGTAGTCGTATTGGTTGAAAGAGGGAGCCACTGCCTCAATTTGTCGAGGCCCGGCGTGCGAGGTCACATTCATCGCAGCTCGGTCGCTCCCGTAGTCGAAGCTCGAAGAGCGTCCAGCCTGTCCATGTACCCAGCGTTGATTGCCTGTCCCTTGCGCGTAACCCAACTCAACACTCGTAGCACTGTTTCCCTTGCTTCCCTTTCCACTCCGGGTATGTAGTACTCGATGGGGGACTTGTTGCGGCGGTGGAGCTCTCGAGCCCGAGAACGATGCCGTGCCGTCCTTCCGCAGGCTATTCCCCCTGCCCAAGTTACTCTGGAAGTTGGAAATGCTCATACTCCTCCTTTCTCGCGAGAGGGAGCCTCCGGGATGTCGAGACAGGTCGTCCGCAGAGTCGAAGTCGGAGCTGAACGAATACGTATGCCCCGCGCCATGTCCGTTTCTCGACGCCAAATGCTGGGTTGGCTGATACGAGTCCGGGCCTGCGAAGGATGCATACAACTGCGCCTCATCGTGTGTGAGTTTTCTGCCGTAGACGTCTCTCTCGTTCCCGTACGCAAATTGGTCGAAGGACATCAGCATATTATCGACCAGCGAATCGCGGGTCACTTGGCGCGGGCTCAAAGATAGGTCGTGGGAGTCCCGACGCCCTCCTCCGCCTTCCCGTTCATTGCCTCCTCTGTTCACCGAATCGATGGGTGTGATATCGTCTAGAAAAGTCTCCCTCGGGTCCGATCGTCCATTGAGCGCCCGGCCCGCAGCGAACGTCGTATTTATGGTCGGGCGAGACGTCTCTGTCCTGGAGAGACTCCGCCGGGGGGGGATCTCCCTCCTACTTCCCTTGCTGCCGGTATCGATATTGATGGAAGCGCCGACGCGCCTCGGGGCTGATAACGGCATGTTTTCGAAGGACTGCATAGTGTCTTGGTGTCGAGGCCTCTGGGGCGGTGAGCCTGATTGGCATCAGCTCGGATGGTTGGGTTGGTTTGTAGGGCGATGGCGACGGCGATGGCGACGGCGACCTCATGTACCCTGACGCAATTTGATCTGTCCTTTATCGACGACGGTTCCCTTCCCTGTTGAGCTCGTGTACTTCTGCCTGGTTTGCGGCGCCAGTTCCAGCGGAGGGCCAGGTGTGATGGATGAAGATTATGACGATGATAGTGATTGTGATAGTGATTGTGATTGTGATTGTGATTATTGTATTGTAATGTATTGTATTGTGTTGTATTCGTGTATTCGTTCATGTATGTGTTGGTTGTTGGTGTAGGGGAGAGT